AACGAATAAAGTATTGAACAAGATAGTAATGTAGACATTCGCAATACGCAATGACTGATAAAAATCATGTGTTTATATTGTAGGTATGATTCAGCAAGATTCCAGCAAGAAGGGTGATGGGGATATTCTCAATCACTCCATCTGTAGCCATCTGAGAGAAAAAGATATGTGCAAGAGAAGCCATCACGTTAAGAAAAAACTGTGTAAAGCCACATGTGGTAGGTACTTCATTATTTTTTATTTCACTTGATTTTCCTTTTTGTCATGATATTTTATACAAATTAAATAATAAATTATATATAATAAACTATACTACGAGTTCGGCGGGTTATGAGCACTTCCATGCCAAAAACTTTCTATTACGTATTAGATGACAATCATATGTATGATTTTAAAACAAATGTTTACTCTTTTATTGAAACTAACTTCAAAATCAAAGTCCTGCACCTCTCCTCTCTATTAGATATACTCAATTTATATTTTTACAAACTTAAAAATCGATTAGTGTTTGTTTTTTTTCGAATATATCTTTCTTAATTTCCCAAGTTATGATATTCAGCGTGTCTTTAGTACATAATCAAGCTGCCATTCTACCAAAATGAAACCCAATCTGTTGTCTCACAAAATCACAGCTGCTTTTGATTTCGTTGTTGAAGGAAACTAGATTTTTTTCCAGCACACTTTAAGAAGGAAGTTCTAGAAAAAGAGGAAAATATTTCCAGTAATCATAAGAGGGTGGCCCTTCATGGTTTCTCAAGATCTTATCCGATTGGTTTACAAGCTATTTCTTGAATAAAAGAAAACAATAGAATTTAAGAACGAGGAAACAATGATCATTGTTTTATTCCTCCAATCACAAGAAACCTCATAAACTCGTGACAGAAGCACAAAGCTTTAGGGACAACGAACCACATGACATGCTACTAGTAGCGTTGTTTTTTAAAACTGTTTTGGTTCACTTGTAGGTTGTGATGACATGATCTCACAGAAATCGTGTATCGTCCTGAAAAGATCCAATGAATGCTCCAAAAACTTGGCAATGCGCATGCGTTACTGCAAGTGGACATGCGGATTGTGTCGTGAGTAAAACTTCCTTCAATTAAATCGAATGTCGATCGAGAAAAGTCTCTTGTCATTTGGTGTGGAAAGTTAAAAATAAGCCCAAAATGTGATATTTAAATAACGCGCAATTCTATATAAGGTCAATTCTATCAAAAACCTATGCATTATACATAGATCTGATAAGACATTTATCAGAAATGAAGGTCCATGACCTAGCAAGAGTATCAACTGACCAATGCAGTGTTTCAACCGATACCAGTACTTTTTAAACTTTTCTTTAAGACTTTAAGGCGCTGTTTACATAAGAAAGGCCGTATCCTTAGGGCCTGCGCAATATTTATCARGCAAAATCTAATTTTACGTTCTTTAAGAGGAGGGAGAACTTTAATTGGAAACTGAAAAATCAACGGTGTCAGATTCTGTGCTTTTTGACCAAAGACTTRTTGAAGTGGAAAAGTAGAAAAGCGTGCCACGATTTGCGACAACTCTTTATTCGCAATAACAAATAAATAAATTCAGGTGGGGGCAGAGCATGATTGATTTTGTTTGCGGAGCTGAAAGATGCATTATTACTTGCCGCGGTAAATTTCGCATCTAGTCTGACGGGCTATTGACGGCATGAAAATCGATGGTTTTTCCTATATCTAAAATATATGAACCTTTATGTGTGATTTAAAATGTTAAGTAGTTTTCATTTCACAAATGATGAATGTTTATCATTCATAGCGCACTGCACTGCAACAGCACTTGGGATGCAGAGTAGAGCCATTCCTGACTCAAGCATCACCGCATCTACGTATCATGCCAAGGGCTATGAACCACAACAAGGACGACTTCACATTAGGTCATCCCGTGGTAAGTATGGATCATGGACCCCAAAAACGCAAAGAGCCGGAGACTGGCTCCAAGTCGATTTGGGCAAGGTTACCAAAGTTCAAGGTGTCGCAACCCAAGGTCGATACGATGATAGCCAATGGGTGAAAAGCTACACCCTACAATACAGC